CGCGCGCACGTGCACGCGCACGCGCGCGCGCGCACGCGCGCGCACGCGCACGCACGCGCACGCGCGCACGCACACTCACACGCGCGCATACACGGTCGCGCATGCGCGCGCCCGCGGCAGCAGCCGCGCGTGCGCGCCCGCGGCCGCGCCCCCGTCCGTACGCGCGCGCGCGCTCTCTCTCGCCCGCGCGCGCGCACACGAACGCACGCGCGCGCGCGCTCACGCGCGCCCACGCGCACACGCACGCGCGCGCGCACGCGCACGCGCACGCGCACACGCACGCGCAAACGCGCGCGCGCACGCACTCGCACCCGCGCACGCACGCGCACACGCACACGCACACGCATACGTACATTTACACGCACGTGGACACGCACGCGCACACGCAACCGCACACCCACGCGCACGCGCACACGCACGCGCACACCCACACGTACACGCACACGCACACGCACAGGCGTACACGCACGCACACGTACACGCACACGCGCACGCACGCGCACACGCACACGCACACGGACACGCACGCGCACACGCACATGCACACGCACACGCACACGCACACACACACGCACACGCTCACGCACTCGTACACACACGAGCACACGCACTCGCACACGCACGCGCGCGCGCACGCGCACGCGTGCACGCGCGCGCACGCGCGCGCGCGCGCGGACACGCACACGCACGCGCACACGGACACGCACACGCGCACGCACACGCACACGCACACGCACACGCAAAAACGCACACGCAAAAACGCACACGCACATGCACGCCAAAACACATGCAAACACACAAAACCACACAAAACCACACACAAAGACACAAACACACACAAAACACATACACACGAACACATAATTCACACAATCACAGCACACTCAGAAACAAGCACACATAAGAGCGCACCCGCACAAACACACACACAGCAATTCACCAAAACATAAACACATACACGAAAGCACACGCAACACACAACAACACACAACAATCCCCCCCCCACACATTATAACCCACACACATAATCCCACACAACAACTCACACAAACACACGCAAACACACAAACACACGCAAACACACACAACACAATCACACACAAACAAACACACAAAACACGCACACGCAAAAACACACACCACACACAACACACACAACACACAACACACAACACACAACGCACACACAATACACACAACACAAACACACGCGCCCCGTCCGCGGATCTCGGGGGCATTGCTCGCGTAGCCCGGCATCCTCGCGGTCCGCGGCCAGGCCTTCCCGCCTGCGGCGGGCCGCCAGCTCGCCGTGGAGCGGCGCTGGAGGCGCCGCTCCAGGGAGGGGCCCCGGGCGCCCGCGGGAGGCTTGCCGCTCCGCCTCCGGAGCGGCAGGCCTCGCGACGCGAGTGCGAGGACAGACAAGGCGCCCGTAATTCATCCGCACCCAGGACTGCTGGAGTCCTACCCCGGATCCCCAGGGAACTGAGGATGCAGGTGACTTCCCACCCTCGTGGGCGGCCAGCTATCCACAGCCACCACTCCTCAAAAAGGTTCTCGAGTGCGCGCCCACCGCTTCGAGGTCATGCCCTGGGCTCCTTGAAGCAGTGGCGAGCCCGGAGATCCGCCCGCCCGCGTGGGCCAGCAAGGATCCGCATCCAGTGCTCCCCGAGTACCCAGGGCACCCCCCCTGCGGCCACAAGGACGAGGAGGAGGAGGAGGAAGAGGAGGCGGAGGAGGAGGACGAGGATGATGATGATGATGATGATGATGAGGATGATGATGATGATGATGATGATGATGATGATGATGATGATGATGATGATGATGATGATGATGATGATGATGATGATGATGATGATGATGATGATGATGATGATGATGATGATGATGATGATGATGATGATGATGATGATGATGATGATGATGATGATGCTGATGATGTGACGATGCTGATGATGATGATGATGATGATGATGATGCTGATGATGCTGATGCTGATGCTGATGATGATGATGGTGATGGTGATGGTGATGGTGATGGGTGATGATGAGATGATGATGATGATGATGATGATGATGATGATGATGGATGATGATGATGTTGATGATGATGTGATGATGATGATGATGATGATGGATGATGATGATGATATGTGATATGAGATGTGATGATGCTGATGAGATGATGATGATGATGATGATGATGATGATGATGATGATGATGATGATGATGATGATGATGATGAGGATGATGCTGATGATGATGATGATGGATGATGAGGATGATGATGATGATGATGATGATGATGATGATGATGATGATGATGATGATGATGATGATGATGATGATGATGATGATGATGGATGATGATGATGATGATGATGATGATGATGATGATGATGATGATGATGATGATGATGATGATGATGATGATGATGATGAGATGATGATGATGATGAGATGATGATGATGGAGGAGGAGGAGGAGGAGGAGGAGGGGAGGAGGAGGAGAGGAGGGAGGAGGAGGAGGAGGAGGAGGAGGAGGAGGAGGAGGAGGAGGAGGAGGAGGAGGAGGAGGGGGAGGCGGATGGCGAGGAAGGGGAGGAGGGGGAGGGACGGGGAGGAGGGGAGGGGGGGGAGGAGGAGGAGGCGGAGGAGGAGGAGGAGGAGGAGGAGGAGGGAGGGAGGAGGAGGAGGAGGAGGGAGGAGGAGGAGGAGGGGAGGAGGAGGAGGAGGAGGGAGGGGGAGGGGGAGGGGGAGGAGGAGGAGGAGGGAGGAGGAGGAGGAGGCGGAGGAGGAGGAGGAGGGGGAGGAGGGGGAGGAGGGGGCGGAGGCGGAGGCGGAGGCGGATGCGGAGGAGGAGGAGGAGGATGAGGATGAGGATGAGGAGGAGGATGAGGAGGAGGAGGAGGAGGAGGAGGAGGAGGAGGAGGGAGAAGAGGAGGAGAGGAGGAGGAGGAGGAGGAGGAGGAGGAGTTGGAGTTGGAGGAGTTGGATGAGGATGAGGAGGATGAGGAGGAGGAGGAGGATGAAGAGGAATACTAGTAGTAATATGACGATGAAGATGAGGATGAGGAGGAGGAGAAATGAATGTATTACTAATACTAATAATTTGAAGAAGTTTACATATAATATGAAAGCTAGTATGAATACTAATAAGCTTAATAATAATACTGATAAGAAGAAGGAGACGACCATTCGTGTTCATGTAAAGAATACGAAAACCACTAATCATAAAACTACGAACGCTACTAATAATACTACGAAGCATACGTTTAAGAAGGATGCACCCACCACTACGTATTATTAGCAATGCTAATAATAAGACGAAAATCATAAATTAATATAAAAGTAATGATATTACTAGCACTAGTATTAATAGTACGAACAATAAGTACTAGTACTAAGTATGATAATGCTACGAAGGAGAATACTAATAATACTAATAAGACTAATGATAATAACTACTAAGAAGGAGACTAATAATACCAATCAGAAGACGAACACTATATGAATCACAAGACTAAGAATATGAATACTAATAATAGTAATAATAATGATACTAAGAAGAATCATAGTAACACTACTAATAACATCACTACTAACAGTACTACTACTATTACTACTACTAGTACTAGCAATACTAAGACTAGTACTGCTACTACCACTCATCATTTTAATACGAGCAATCAGATTAATGCTACTCACACTAATACTAGCATTAATATCATCAATAATAATATTACTAATCGTAATATTCGTAATGCTAATGATGATAATCATAATAAAGTATTAATACTAATACCAAACTCACTACTACTACTACTACTACTACTACTACTACTACTACTACTACTACTAATACTATTAATAGTACTAATATTACTAATAATAATATCGGTAATGATACTAATAACTATAGTACTAATAACGGTAATATTACTACTACTAATACTAATAATATAGTAATAATAATAACGGTAATACTACTATTACTAATACTAATTCTAATCATCATAATACTACAAAAATATTTAAAACAATAACAGTAGAACTAATAGGAAATAGAGGGGGAGGAAAAAAAAGAGGAGGAGGAGGAAGAGGAGGAGGAGGAGGGCACGGCCACGGAACTGCGGCAGTCGCCCCGGAGCTTGGCGGCCTCGTTGAGAGGCGGGCGCACGGGGGCAGCTCCAGGGAGGTCCCTCGCCCACGAGGGGCCGACGGGTTGCTGTGGCGCCTCTTCCTTGCCGGGAGGCGGCGAAAGGCCAGCGGAAGCAGAGCGAGGGCGCCTCCGCTGGCGGAAGCCAGGAGAACCTCGGCGGAGGGCGGCGGAAGCACCCCCCTCCTCCCTCCTCCTCCTCCTCCCTCCTCCTCCCTCCTCCTCCTCCTCCTCCTCCCCCTCCTCCTCCTCCTCCTCCTCCTCCTCCTCCTCCTCCTCCTCCTCCACAAGGTGCCCACATGTTTTGGTGGCAGGGTTTCGGGCCACATACGGCCACGTGCTTTCCGGGCGCTCGGCCCTTCCGTGGCAGGGTGCGCTGGCCCCCCGCAGGTGCATCTGGCGCGCGGCATCCACATGTGTATCCAGCCAGGCGTGCTCCCAGATTCCTGGTCGTGCCCCTGTGGTCTCTGGCCACCACGTCGCCGTGTTTCTGGCATCTTCGGGGTGCCGTGATCGCCATTGCGGAGTGGCGGGCCGAATCGTGGTAGTATTCGCTGCCATGCACATGTGTTTCTTTGGCGGTGCACACAGGGGTTTGCGCGCCAGGGCCGTCTTTTGTGAAGGCGGGGGGCCTTCAGCGGGCTAGTTGGCTCGAACAAGTTCGACGGAAGTTTTGACGGAGAGGGCTCGGTTGAAAATTATGTTCTCGAGGCAGGGGGCTTCTTTGAGGCCCTCCCAGCTGCTCAGAAGCTTTCTTAGAGGCCGCTTTGCCTCGCCAAGGAGGCCCCCGCCGCCCCCGAAGGCCGCCCTCCTCGCGCCACCCCCCTGGTGCGCGACGCCAGCTGCTTTCTGTCCTCCTGGACTTCCAGCCTGGCTACCAGTGGGACGATGCCGGGGGCTATTGCGGATCTTGGGCGGTGCAGCGCGCAGCGCTGGGCAAGGGCGCTTGGATATCGCAGCAGCAGGTCCGCGACCACACGTCTCCAGGTGGTGGTCATGACAACGAGATCCTTTCAACCAACATCGAGGAAGCCTTCAAGAAGCTCAAAATCTCCTTCGAAGGCTTCGACTACGTGAACGAACCACTCCCACAGCAAGATGCGTATGCGAGGTGGCTCAAGAAGCAGCTGGTGGCTGGCTATGCCGTGGCATGGATGATTATGTGGAGCGGCCAGAGCTATCCGATATACGACCTCAAACCACCAGCTGGCATGTACGGGCACGTCGAGCCGGTCGTTGGCATCCAGTCCAACCATCCACTGAACGACACAACGGTTTAGTTGAGTGTCTTACGCCGTTCCACCGAAACACAGCAGAGCTGAATCGCGATGGTGCCGTGTGCCACTACGCTGGCACGAAGTCTGGGTTGTCTTGAAACCGTCTTAGCGTCGACTTGAAGGACGGCTGAAAGCTGTGTTTTTGTGGTCTTTGGGCGCTCTTCGCTGGGGTCGGGGCAGAAGCTCAGGGACATCTGGCAGCGTCTGGGGTCTATGGGCCGTCGTGGGACGTCTTCGAGTCACCTCGGGGCCATTTTGGCGGCCTTTTCGGCCGTTTAGCGGCTTTTGGGGGACTTTGTGTACCCTTTTGAATATGAGCGGGTCATCGTCATCCCTGTAACTGTCGTCACTTTGGGGCTCCCGAGGCCTGCATATGGAGGAAGTATTCAGGCGGGTAGCCTCGTCTGTGAGTGAACTGTGAGGAAGTCTCAGGCGGGAACCCCCTCCCTATGCGCTCTTCAGAGGGCGATTCGCCCGACCCATCAGGTGAGGAGGAAGAGGAGGAACAGGAGGTGAGGACGACGACGGCGGCCGGGCGCAGGGGGAAAACCCTTGCGTCCGGGCTGAGGGTGGTAACCCATTCTCGGTTGAAGCGGGGGCAGGGGGAAACCCTTGTCTCCGGGCTGGCGGTGGTAACCCATCGTCAGCCGAATCGGGGGCAGGGGGAAACCCTTGTCTCTGGGCTGGTGGTGGAAAGCCATCGTCAACCGAATCGGGGGCAGGGGGGAACCCTTGTCTCTGGGCTGCGGGTGGTAACCCATCCTCGGCCGAATCGGGCGCAGGGGGAAGCCCTTGCGTCTGGGCCGGGGGTGGTAGGTTGCGAAACAAGCAGCAGGAGGGCAAGGGCAACGCGGGGAGCGGGTGAGGGCCTTGCCCCAGGGCGAGGATGAGAATGACGCAGAGAAGACAATAAGGGCGCCTCACTAATCGCGAGGACGACAGTGAAGGTTCTTTCCAGATTAGCCGAAAGCATTTTCATGTGGGGTCTTTCCGTCGGAGTAATCTTTCAATGGTTTTGAAGGATTTTAGCGTTCTCGCTTTTCCCGCTTCCCAGCGCTCCCTCACGGTCTCGGAGGCCCTTCAGATCGCTCCAAGACGGCCCACGAGGCCCCGAAGGGCCCCAAGACAGCCCAGGAGGCTCCCTAGACAACCCAAGTGTGCCCCAAGAGGGGGCCCAGAGGGGGACCTCGAATCGATATTTCGAAGTCTCTGGCACTAGAGGCTTTCAGAAGGCCCCTGGAGGTCACCAAGAGGCTCCCACGAAGCCCCGTGAGGTCCTCAAGAGGCCCCCAGAATGCCCCAAGGGGCCCCCGAGGAACGCCCAAGACGCCCCCCCAACACACCCCAGCAAACCATGTCCCCAGAAAGCCTTCCAGGGACATAGTTCATCATGGGCCCGAGAGTCTCCGGAGGCTCCGAAGTACCATCGCGCTACGGGAGAGTTGTCTGGGAAGTTGACTGGGAACATGATCGCCTTCTCGCGGCCTTCCGCGGATCGTTTCGCAGAAAGTTGTCCCAAGCGCCCTCTTGAACCGACGACGACGAAGACGTCGAAGACGACGAAGACGGCGAAGACGACGAAGCGACGACGACATCGACGACGACGACGACGACGACGACGACGACGACGACGACGACGACGACGACGACGACGACGGCGCGCCTCCAGAGGCGACGACGACAGTATAACGATTACGGCACGCCCCAACAGGCTCCCCAAGACGCCCCCCAAACCTTCTGGGAACCCGATTCATCAGGCCTCCGCCCCCCTACGCAACCATCTTCCCCGAAAGCCTTCCGGAATTCGGATTGACACGCATGGCCTTTGCATTGGCTATAATGCAATCAGCGTTATGGGCATTTCCTCACTTCCCGTTCAAACCATCTGTGGTTCATTACTTCAGTGGAGCAGTGAACGCGTCAAGGCTTGGGGCCTGCTAGAACCTGAGCGCGCGCGGAGCGCGCGCGATGGTGAATAGTTAGATGTAAACGACGATCTACTTGCTGAGTGGGCTGGCGCTCCCAGCACGGGGAGCGGGGCAGCCGAGCACTCCACGCTCCTCACCCCCCGCCAGCGGGGGTCGTCGGGCTCCGATGACGTGGTCCTTCACTACACCGATGCGGGCACGAACACGGTTCACCGGGCTCTCAGCAGCCTGGGGGGGTCTTGGGCAGGGCCAGGCCGCCGCGCCAACTGCGGCTGGAGGCACTCGTACTGCATGGCGGAGTACGCGTTCGGGTGGGCGGTGAAGGGCTTTGAGGACGATAAGCCGTACGTCCAGGCATCCCTGGCCATCCAGCCCTACGAGAGTGAGCCGGACACGCGCTCAGGCGAGACGCCCGTCCTGCTGAAAGGCACCCTGACGGTGACGGAGCTCACGGCGGGGTCAACGTACAGCATATACCGCTGGGACTCCGTTGAGGATGCGTTTACCTACAGCGACAGCTTCAAGAAGACGTCATTCCAGGCCAAGACCGACAGGTTTGTCTACTCAGATGGCACGGGCTTCCAGAGCAGCGGCACGACCTACTACAGGGTACTGCTTGAGGCAGCTGCAGAGGAGGCAGTGGTGGTGTAGTCTGTGCCGAGCCGTCGACTCCGCGCAGCGGGAAGGAGGTAACATGCTGGCCCGTTTCCTGTAGATGGTTGCTATGATGCATTCAGTGTTCTTCTTCTGCCTCTTCCCTCTCCGCCTCTTCTCATTTCTCATCCTTGTCCTTTTTCCCGCCTCCTCCTCTGGCTCTTCATTCTCCTCCCCTCCCCTCTTCGTGGCGGCTACCAGGAGGCGGAGGAGGAGGATGAGGATGAGGAGGATGAGGAGGAGGAATCGGAGGAAGATGAGGATGAGGATGAGGATGAAGGGGAGTAGGGAAGAGGAGGAAAGGAGGAGGAGGAGGAGGAGCAGGATTAGAGGAGGAGGAGGAAGAGGAGGATGAGGAGGAGGGGGAGGAAGAGGATAATACGAACTAATGATGCTGATGATAATGATGGTGGTGGTGGTGATGATGATGACGATGATGCTGCTGCTGATGATGATGATGATGGTGATGATGATGATGCTGATGATGATGCTGATCATGATGCCTATTCTGATTCTGATTCTGATGCTGATGCTGATGATGATAATGATAATGATAATGAGGATGCGGATGAGGATGATGAGTATTATGATGATGCTGATGCTGATGCTGATGGTGCAGCTGCTGATGATTCTTCTGGTGATGATGGTGATGATCATGGTGGTGATGGCGATGGTCATTGTGATGGTGATGGTGATGGTGATGATGTTTGTGATGGTGGTGATGGTGATGGGGATGGCGGTGCTGTTGTTGATGATGGCGATGATGAAGATGATAGCGATGATGCTGATTGTTGAGGGAAACCGTAGGTAGAACAGGTTTAAACACGTTTAAACGAGAGCCCGACACGCTACCCGTTCCGCAGCCTCTTTGGCACATACGTTGTCATGGTAGCGGAGCTGGCTTCGGCCAGCTCCCGCCAAGCGCCCCTCCCGCGGCAGGGCGCTGGCCATAGCCGGAGCGGCCGCAGCTGGCCAGTTGGGCAGAGGATCCACGGCGACAGGCGTGGCGCGGCCAGCATAGCCGAGGACGCGCAGATCGAGGTCTTCGTGACCCACAAGAAGCAGATCGAGGTCGTCGTGACCCACGAAAGTGCAGAGCACATCGAGGTCTTCGTGGCCCATAGGAGTGCACGGTCGACGAGCTCGACGACATGACGGAGCCTGGTGCAGAGTGGCGGGGTTCAGGACTGAAGCCGCCAACGTTCGACGGTCAAGAGGAGCACTGGACGGAGTGCTAATTCGTGATGAGGGCGTACCTGGGCGGCCAGACGGCTCAGGCGCAGTACTTGCTAGAGGCAGCAGAACAACGGGGTGATCCTGACACCAGCATGGCAGAGACGCTCCACAGGCTCGGCGCTGAAGGGTGACGGCCAACAAGAAGATGTTCTTCGCTTTGGTCATGACTGTGAAAGGAAGCGCTCAGATGCTGATCAGGAGTGTAGAGGGCCAGAGCGGAGCGCTGGCATGGCGAGCTCTGGTCAAGAGGCACGAGCCAGCGACAGCTATGCGGGCGCAAAGCATCATGACGGCGATCCTCAATGTGAAACCGTTCCCTTCCGACCTGGCGGGCTTCGAGCAGCGCCGCACGGATTGGGAACGCGACGTCAGGAGAACGGCGGGCGCGCCGCGGCGCCCGGAGGGATGACCGCAGCTTTGCGCCGCCATTGGGCGGGCGTCTTTGCAGCGAGAGGGCTGGGCGAGGCCTTGCTCGAGGAATGGCTGCGGGAGGACGTTGAGTGAGAACCGATCCATTGAGGACAGCGCGGCATGGGAGCCGCAGGCGGGCTTTCAGGCGCCGTCCCATCGCGGCCTTCGACGATTGCGCCCTCGTCGTGAACGCGTTGCCGACGCACTGCGTCGATTTGGGGACTGCTCCCGGCCCTGGCGGCGTCCCTTGCGCTGCGTGTAGGCGGCAGGGTGCCCTGGCGGAGTCGACCTCGTACTCGGCGCTCCTGGACTGCTGCCGGCCAGATGCCCAGACGCTGCTCGCGACGGATTGCCCTGACTTCAACGAGTCTTTACTCATCTTCGTGCCCAAGACCCCAAGTGGCAAGATCGAGGGTGGTGCGGGCGCGTATGCGCCAGGGAGTGCCCGGCCACTTAACTTAAACGAACGCCGACAGTCGGCTGCTAGCCAGCGCGATGCGGATCGCTGTTGAGCCTTTCCCGGCGTGGCGGGTCACGGACTGCCAGAGGGGGTTCCTCCCGGGGCGCTCGATGACCGCGAACCTCTGGGACGGGCGAGCGGATGCTAGAGGAGGCCGCGGCGGGGGAGGGCGCGCAGGCCATGTCCTTCGACTTCGCCGCGGTCTCCCCCGCTATCGAGCGCGGGCTGATGTTCCGCTTCTTCGAGAGCTTGGGGTGGCCAGAGTGGCTCCTGCTTTGCTAGGGGTGCTTCCATTGGCGGGGCTGCGCAAGATATCGCTGGGGGGCAGCCTGCGGCCAGGCGTCGGACAGACGCGGGGCGTCCGCCAGGGGTGCCCGCCGTCGCCACTGCTGTTCGCCATCGTCTCCGACCTTTACTTGCGCCGACTTGCTCGCCGTTTTCCAGAGGCGCTCCTTCGGGCATGGGCGAGCGATTTGGCGTTAGTTCTGCCGCGAGCCCTCCGCGGGCTCCACGAGTTGAGGCGATTATTCGAGGAGTTCGGCCGCGTGTCGGAGCTCTGGCTGAACGCCCCGCAGACAATTCTCGTGCCGCTGGATCCGATGGATACAGTCGACCCGGATTAGTTGGCCAACCCCGCCAAATCAAGGGTATTCTTGTGTCCTATGCAACGCGCGTCGTGTCCTCTGCAGTCCTGGGAAGAGGCCATGTTGGAGGCCATGTTGCAGGCACCCTTGTTGGAGGCCATGTTGCCGTCGGAAGAGTCTTGTGTCCCGTCGCGTGTCCTGTGCAATCAATCCTGCCTGTGCGGAGGTGCGCCGGGCTGCGCTGCCGAGGGCGGTGCCAGCTTGGGGAGGGCTGAGAATTGCGAGCACGGCCGAGCATCTCGGCTTCTATGTCGGCCCCGGGCGCGCGCTGCGTTCTTGGGGCCGACCGCTGGCCAAGTGCCGGGAGCGATCGCGCTTGTGGGGGCACTTGACGTGGGGATGAATTTGATTGTTCAGGCCTACGGGGTCTTTGTAGCGTCGGCGCTGATGTTCGTGGCTCAGCTCGAACCCGCGCCCGAGTCCTTCACGGTCCATGAAGACCGGGCTTGCGCAGCGCTGTTTCGTGGGCCCAATTGTTGGGTGACCGCAGATTGCCCCCGCCATCTCGATGCCGCGCACTTGCCCGCCAGCCTCCGGGACGTCCGTGCCGCGGCTACGGCGGCGAAGGCGCGGGTCGCGCGCTTCGGAGCTGGCGGCGCCTTGGAGGTGCGCCGGCGTGCCGGGCGCATCCACGGGCTGCAGTGCCGCGACGGCGCCCCCTTGAGCTGGGCCGCTTGGTTCGGTGATTGGAAACGCCGCAGTTTCTTGGGACATCTGGCCACTGGGGGCCGAGAGATGCAGGGGCAATTGCAGGCGGCCGCCAGGGGCGCCGAGTGGCTGACGAACCAGCTTGGATGGCAGCACCGTGCAACTGTCTTCCTGCGGGACGCCGCGGGCACCCCGGCATTGCGGCATTTGCGGCGGCAGCTGGACAAATGGCCAGCGACCGCGCTCCCAGGACATCTGCTTCAGCGTGCCCGGGAACGCTTGCGCTGGATGGCTGCCAGGTGTCCGCCACGCGTCGTGGTCGCGTACTTGAGCTTGCTGTGCGACGGCTGGTGCGCCGAGCGGCCCTTTCAAGGGGCGGGCCTATGTCGCTACGGGTGCGGCGCCCGCCGCGACAGTATCGTGCATTGCGAGAGGTGCCCAGTGATCGCTCGGCTCCTCCAGCGCGAAGCTGGTTGTTCCGCCAGACCCGCAGCGGGCGCTGGACGACTTCCTCGGCTTCGGTTGGTCGGAAGAAACCACGCCCTGCAGGGGGGAGAGCCGTTTGCGCCCTCCATCATCTCCTGACTGCCCGCCGGCACGGGCAAGTGCAAGAAGAGGATCTGCCAGGCGCCTTCCTCATCGCCCTGGGGAAGGCAGCACAAGTTCAAGACGATCCAGGTAATGAGTGACGGGCGGTTTTCTCTTCAGATTTGCTCTCGACTCCTCCTCCTCCTCCTTCTCCTCCTCCTCCTTCTCCTCCTCCTCCTCCGCTTCCTCCTCCTCCTCCTCCTCCTCCTCCGCGAGCCCCGCAAATGAGGTGGCTGTGCCCTGTCGCAGCTGGGCCGTGGCTGGATGATTGCCATCTCGTTTGGGGGGCTCGGCCTGTGCGGGTGGCTGCAGGACCGTTGCGTCGGGAATCCCGCGCCCCCACCTTTTTCTTTCCTGTTTCCTGTCTCTGTGTGTTCGCCGGGCTGTAAGCCGCCAGAGAAACCGGCCATTTTCAGGGAAACAATGTAGTTTTTCGTTTTTTGTGTTCTGTCGCGCTCTCTCTCTCTCTCTTTCTCTTTCCTCCTCCTCTTCCTCTCCGTTTAATGTGATGCATATGCTGCCGCGGGCACGCGTGGGCTGCGCTGTTGCCTCGGCTGTCGATTTTGGAGCCTTTTTGGGACGTTTGTTGTCCCAGCCGCGTGGCCGATAGGGTCACGTGCGTGCCGTCGTTTCTGGCCAGGGGGGCCCGATTTGTCCGCTGCCTGCTGGCGCCCGCCGAATCAGCAGCATTTGGTTTACTCTCTCCTTCGGCTCTTCTCATCCATCGTGGTGCGGACTTCGCCCTTCGTGCGGGACTTGGCGTTCGCGCCGGAACACGCGGAGGTGGCTGGTGGAGGGCCCCCGGTCTCGCCGACCGCTCCTTTTCTAGGGAGTCGTCCACGAGCCCGCGCTGTCCTCTTTTGCTGGCCGCCTGCGGTCATAACGCGACCATCTAGTCACCTTGGCTGCTCTCAGTTTGCTGCGTCGTTTTCGTGTGTGGGCCAACGCATTGCAGCTTTAGCGCGCTTTGCCTTCTTGTTTCCCTTGCTACCCCTTCCATCGCGGCTGCCTCTTTTGTCCCAGGCGGGGGAAAGTCGGGGACGCAGCCTAATGCTTGCCTGCCTGTGTGTTCTTCCCTTCCTCCTCCTCCTCCTCCTCCTCCTCCTCCTCCTCCTCCTCTCCCTCTTCCCAGCGCTCGCTGACTCTAGCGGGCCGAATTTCGTGACATTTTCGTTGCGTGCTGTAGCGCTTCTCTGCGTTCATTCGGTTTTTGTCTTGCTCTGGTGCCGTCCGCCGTTCGGCCGCTGGCAATGGTCAGCGTGCCGCGGGGAGCGAAGTGCTCTTCGTTCGCCGTCCGGTGCCATTGGACCTCGTGGGGCGTCCAGTGAATTCTTCGGGGCACAAAAAAGTATGTATACATACATCTATATGTGTATGTTTATGTATGTGTATGTATATGTGTATGTGTATGTGTATATGTATTTGTATGTATATGTGTATGTGTATTTGTATTTGTAGGTGTATGTGCATGTGTATGTGTACGTGTCTGTGTATGTCTATGTGTATATGTATGTGTGTGTCTGTCTGTGTTTTTTGAGTGTGTATGTTGGTGTATGTATGTATGTATGTATACATGTATACATATGATTATATGTGTATGTATATGTGTATGTTTTTTTTTTTTAGGTCTATGGACACATATGTGTATATGTATTTGCATGCGTATACGTGTACGTGTGTGTATATATATATGTACATGTATATGCATATGAACGTGTACATGTATACGTATGTGTAGCTGCATCTGTATATGTATATGTATATGTATATGTACATGTATGTGTATATGTGTACAGTGTACATGCATATGTTCATGTTTATGTATATATATATGTAGTTGTGCATGTATTTTCGATATATCTATATATGCATATATATACACGTATATGTCTATGTATATGTACATGCATGTGTATGTGTATTTGTATGTGTATGTGTATGTGTATGTGTTTATGTATGTGTATATGTATGTGCATGCGTGTATGTATATGTATATGCACATGTATATATCTGTGTACTTGAATTTGCATATGTATAGGTATATGTGTATGGATATTTCCATGTATATGCATATGGAAATGTATGTGTATATGTATATGTATATGTACATGTACATGTACACGTACATGTATGTGTAGGTTTCTATGTATAGGTATATGTATATGTATCTGTATATGTATATGTATATGTATATGTATATGTATGTGTATATGTATTTGTAGTGTATATGTATATGTATATGTACATGTATGTGTATAGGTCTATGCATATGTATATGCATAGGTATATGTATATGTATATGTATCTGTGTATATGTATGTGTATATGTGTATGTATAGTTATATGTATATGTATATGTATATGTATGTGTATATGTATATGTATAGGTATATGTATATGTATATGTATTTGTATATATATACATATGTATATGTTTATGTATAGGTATATATATATATGTATATGTAGTTGTATATGTGTACATTTGTATATTCATACATTCATACATCTATGTACATACATATGTATATGTAGATGTATATGTATATCGATATGTGTATGTATGTACATGTTTATATGCATATACGTATATATATACATGTATATATATGTAGGTTTATGTATTTGTATATGTATATGTATGTGTATTTGTATTTGTATATGTATATGCATGTATGTATGTATGTATATATATACATATATATACACATGTACACATATACACACATGCATACACACATATATATAATATATATATATATATATATATATATATATATATATATACACATGAAGTAGGTGGTGGGGGGGGGGTGGCCTGCATGTACCCGCCATCCCCCGTGGGTTCTTGGGGTGTCCCAGAGCTTCCGAGACGGCCTGGGCCCGCCTCGAAACAGGCCACGACAGGCTAATGGGGGTTCCAGGAGGGCCCAAAACGGTCCCAAGAGGCTCCGAAAACGCCCAAGATGCCTTCAAGACGGCCGACGAGGACTCCAAAGCGCTCTAGGACGGAGTGACAAGGCTCCCCAAAGGGGCCTGGGAGGCAAAATTCATTCAGTTTCCGAGGGGTTTTGAAGGGTTTATGCGTTCTCGCTTTTCCGGCTTCCCAGCGCTCCCTTACGGCCTCGGAGGCCCTTCGGATCGCTCCAAGACGGCCCACGAGGCCCCGAAGAGGGCCCCGACACGGCCCAGGAGGCTACCCAGACAACCCAAGTGTGCCCCAAGAGCGCCCCAAGAGGAGGCCCAGAGGGGGACCGCGAACTTATATTTCGAGGTCTTTGGCCCTAGACGCCCCCAGTAGGCCCCCAGAGGCCACCAAGAGGCCCCCCCCCCCGTGAGGCCCCCAACCCCAGGGAATGCCCAAGATGCCCCCCAACACACCCCCGCCTTCTCGCGGCCCTCCGTGGCTCTTTTCGCACAAAGCTGTCTCGAGTGTCCTCTTGAACCGACGACGACGACGAAGACGACGAAACGACGAATACAAGGGCGACGACGACGAGGGCGCACCCCAAGAGGCGACGACGACATTACGACGACGACGACGGCACGCCCCAACAGGCTCCCCAAGATGCCCCCCAAACCCATGTTCCCAGAAGGCCTGCTGGGAACCGGATTCATCAGGCTTCCGTCCCCCCACGCAACCATCTTCCCCGAAAGCCTTCCGGAATACGGATTGATATGCATGGATTTTTCACTGTCCATCATGCGTTCAGCGTTATGGGCACTTCTTCACTTCCCGTTCAAACCATCTGTGGTCCACTACTTCAGTAGAGCAGTGGACTCGTCAAGGCTTGGGGCCTGCTAGAACCTGAGCGCGCGCGAAGCGCGCGCTGGTTCTAGTGCATGTGTGTGTATTTGTGTACATGTATATGCACATATCGTGGGCCACATCACCACTACCAGTTAGGTGAGTGCTTCAGCGGGTCGCGACAGTGAAAAGTGTGTACATGTTTGCATGATGATATGTACGGGATGACATCTACAGGTAGTTCGTCCTCCTCATCAGCATTCGTGACGGCGCCGTCACCTCGCCTGAGAGGGGATAACGTGCGCATGATGTGCAATTGCAAGTTACGTATTCTGTCGCGTCCCGTTACTATACCGCGTGACCGTGACGCACATCGCCAGATGTGGGAAAACGTGCATGATGTGGTCTTGGGGCTGGTGTTTAGTTGGTGTTTTTTTGGGGCGGAAGGCGACGGAAGGCCGCCAGAAACTGGCGGAAGTAAAACGGCGGCGTGTCTGCTGACAGAAGCTGGCGGAAATACAAGGGTTGTCCACAAACTCGTGTTTCTTTTTGAGGGGCCAGGCTGTCCGGGAGCGAGCGCGTGGGCATGCCAGATTCGGTTCGCTTCGGGGGAGACGCGTCGTTTTCGGGCAGATGCGGGGCCTCGGGTGGGGCCAAAGAGGAGGAGGAGGAGGAGGAGGAGGAGGAGGAGGAGGAGGAGGAGGAGGAGGAGGAGGAGGAGGAGGAGGAGGAGGAGGAGGAGGAGGAGGAGGAGGAGGAGGAGGAGGAGGGAGGAGGGAGGAGGAGGAGGAGGAGGAGGAGGGAGGAGGAGGAGGAGGAGGAGGAGGAGGAGGAGGAGGAGGAGGAGGAGGAGGAGGAGGAGGAGGAGGAGGAGGAGGAGGAGGAGGAGGAGGAGGAGGAGGAGGAGGAGGAGGAGGAGGAGGAGGAGGAGGAGGAGGAGGAGGAGGAGGAGAGATCCCTCGTGAGCTCCGCCTTCGCCTCCAGCCCGGACGGCCGCAGCCCTCTTGGCGCCGAGGGCGGCCGAGGCCCAGAAGCGGCCTCTCGCGGCAAGTGGAGCTGGCCGCGCCGCGGGGCCCCATGGGGCAGGGGTTTGCCGCCTGTGCGGACGCCGGCGGACCTCTTGGGCGAGCAGAACCTGGGGCGGGCGGCACCTCGGGGGGCGGGCTGCTTCGGAGGTTGATAGACCTCCTACCCTGACACGTCGATTAAGGAATCGGCCGTTTTCGGTTCGCGAGACGGGGTCGCGGCCGTCATTTTTGCGGTTCCAGGTCCGTGGGTTTCGGTCCCAGGCCGTTTTTACTTAACAGCGAAGACTGATAGGTTTCTAATGGGGTCAAAAGAGAGCATCTGATGACTCCCCAGAGGGGGTCCGGGCGGGAGCCGGACAGGCGAGGGCCGGGCTCGTTTTAAGCAAACACTCGCGCACTTCGTGCTCTTCGACCTCCCAGAACTCCATTCCCGGGCCACATTTTGAATGCCTGGAGCCAGCTGTAGGCCACTTCGTGTTCTTCGACTTCCCAGAACTCCATTCCCGGGCCACATTTTGAATGCCCGGAGCCAACTGTAGGCCACTTCGTGCTCTTCGACTTCCCAGAACTCCATTCCCGGGCCACTTTTTGCATGCCCGGAGCCAACTGTAGGCCACTTCGTGCTCTTGGACTTCCCAGAAGACCACTCCCGGGCCACATTTTGAATGCCCGGAGCCAACTGTAGGCCACTTCGTGCTCTTCCATTTCCCAGAACTCTACTCCCGGGCCACATTTTGAATGCCCGGAGCCACCTGTACGCCACTTCGTGTTCTTCCACTTCCCAGACTTCCAAGACTCATCATCTTCATCATCATCGTCCCCGTAGCCTTCTTGGCTACAGCCCTGCTTTCGAAGATTTCCTTTCAAAGGAACTGCGCAGCGCCTACTGCGCAACTTAATGCCAGGACATGCTGATAGTTGTCGGTCTGGCGGCGGTGCTCCTGACCCTGCTGCATTGAACAGCGGTGCTCCTCAGCCTGCGGCAGGGAACAGCGCTGCTCCTCAGCGTGCTGCATTGAGCGGTCCTCTGTAAACGCTCGTCGAGCACGTGAAGCAGTTCGGCCGGATACCGAAGCGAAATAAAGGAACGTCCGAACAAGAACGGGCCGAAAACAAGTTGGTCAAACGTTTCTTGGACCATCGCGGCCGCATCCCCAAAGACATTTTGCATGAACTGCGGGCCCTGGGCTGTGCTGATCAGCAGACGGAGACCGAGGAGCTCAAGCGGAAGCAGAAGACCGAGGAGCTCACGCAGCAAAAGCGAGACAAGACCGAGGAGCTCATGCAGCAAGTGCGAGACTTCGGCCGCCACCCGAAGGAGTATGCCGGGCGTTGCCTCGCAGAGCGGCAGCTGGCAGAGAAAGTCCGGAAAGCACGGAAGGCCAGCCAGTTCTCCCCGGGGCAGGGCGCCGAGCTCCAGGCCTTCAAGCAAGCGGAGAGCGAAGCCACAACGAAGACTCGCGTCGCGGAGGCGGAGGGCCTTCCAAACCCCATGGAAGGGTTCGCTGAGGAGGCGCAAAACAGGATCGACCAGGACATGCTGATGCTCGAGAGTGGCATCCGGGCCAAGGCAATTTTGCGGCGCCTTGCCGCCTACAAGGAGTTTGTGTCCAGCCCTCTCTGCGCAACGCACGGAATTCGCGCAGCGGTGCGCGGAGCGGGTGCTTAAGGTGTCGGCCGCCCCCGCGGGGAAGAGCTGCTACGTTCCCGGCGGCGAGGTGGAGGGGGGCTAGCTGCGCGTCTTCTCCGACCGCCCCGTCATGACGGGGCCGCTCGTGTGCCAGCTCTGCGACTGCGACTTTCTTACAGAGGAAGATTTTGCGCGGCGCAAGCGGCAGGGCCACGCGGGCGAGGCGGAATGCCGCGAACGGGTGCTGTTCCTGATGGCGGAGGCTGGCTGCAGGCCGATAACCGCTCAGCACCGAACCAATGAGTGTTAATGGCCGTGTTCGGGTTTTCCCTAGGTTTTTTTTTTTTTTTTTTTTTTTTTTTTTTTTTTTTTTTTTTTTTTTTTTTTTTTTTTTTTTTTCCCGCGTGTTTTTACTTAACAGCGAAGACTGATAGGTTTCTAATGGGGTCAAAAGAGAGCATCTGATGACTCCCCAGGGGGGTCTGGGCAGATGCCGGACGAGTGTCGGGGAGAATCCGCGGATTTTTTTTAAGCAAGCAATTGCACACTTCGTGGTCCCAGAACTCCACTCCCGGGCCACATTCTGAATGCCCGGAGCCAACTGTAGGCCACTTCGTGCTCTTCGAGTTCCCAGAACTCCATTCCCGGGCCACATTTTGAATGCCCGGAGCCAACTGTAGGCCACTTCGTGGTCTTCGAGTTCCCAGAACTCCATTCCTGGGCATGATTGTGAATGCCCGGAGCCAACTGTAGGCCACTTCGTGTTCTTCGAGTACCCAGAACTCCATTCCCGGGCCACATTTTGAATGCTGAGGCAGGTTGATGCTGAGGCCGAGGCAGGCTGAGGGTGAGGCAGGTTGAGGGTGAGGCCGAGGCTGAAGGCAGGCTGAGGCTGAAGCAGGCTGAAGTTGAGGCTAAGGCAGGCTGAGGCCGAGGCTGAGGCAGGCTGATGCTGAGGCAGGCTGATGCTGAGGCTGAGGCTGATGCAGGCTGAGGCTGAGGCAGCCTCAGGTTGAGGCCGAGGCTGAGGGCAGACTGAGGCTGAGGCTGAAGCAGGCTGAGGCTGAGGCTGAGGCAGGAAAAGGCTGAGGCAGGCTGAGGCTGAGGCTGAGGCAGGCTGAGGCTGAGGCTGTGACTGCGACTGCCGTTGCCGCTGCGACTGTCATCGCGACTGCGACTACGACTGCGAGAGCGGCAGAATTCTACAACTGGATTCTCATCTGAATCTTAAGGGGAATGCTTCCAGATATGCTCCTACACATCGCTGTTAGGTTGCTTTGCTGGAATATCTGTAAGGGGAGGTTTGCTGAAGGGAGGTTTGTCCACCGCCGACTGATAGGGGTGGAAATGAGGGCCGCAAGGGGGCCCCGTGCGGGTCCTCCTGCTCCCCTGCTGCCTCACATGGGCCCTGTGGGGGCCCCTGCAGGGCCCTGCGTTCTCCATCCCTCGTTTCGGTCCCCCCCTCAGTGCCACCCGCCCGAGCGCCGCCCACCGAACCACCAGCTCGGATGGGAGCGTGAGATCGGGCGACGAGATCTGTACGCATCCGCCGTCCCTGGCCAGGCCCATCCTGCTCCCAGGACCGGTGGCCGCACCTCCCCAGCCCAGCCACGAGGGCCCAGGACGGGCCTGGCCAGGAGCGGTGGATATGCGCAGATATGGCCGCCCTGAACGGGACGCAGACATGCGGCGTCACGATCTCTTTAATGAGGCGGCCCCCGGAAGTCCCGCCCCTTCCCCCCTGGGACTGGTTTTTCGTCCCGAGTCGCTTTTCGACGGTCCCGGGGCCCAGCGAGAGCTTCCAGGGGCTTCAAACGGCGAACAAAAATCCGTCCTGAATTTCTCACGACGCGATTGCGTCTGGGCTACAGTCGGACCGAGGTATAAGACCGAAATCGGTTCGGTGAGGGTGCCCTGGTGTTCTTCGTGTTTGCTGGATGTTCTTGTGCATCCTGGGGAGGGTACCCTCGGATGTTCTCTGTGCTTTGGCCGATGGAGGGTCTCGTGCTGTTGAAGGATGCACTTCCGCGCCCAGAGGCGTCGCTCGTCTCCTGGGGGGCAAAGGGAGAGGTGCGAAGATGGGCGCGCCGCGCCTGGCGTGAGGCGTGAAGGCGGGCGGCCTGGGCAAGGCTCTGTGGATCAGGACAGAGATCGAATGCGACGAAGGAGGAGGAGGAGGAGGAGGAGGAGGAGGAGGAGGAGGAGGAGGAGGAGGAGGAGGAGGAGGAGGAGGAGGAGGAGGAGGAGGAGGAGTAGGGAAGAGCCCGGGGGGAGCAGCGCATGGGTCTAGGGCCTCCGATCGCCCATGCCTTCGACGAGGCGTCCCCTGGCGAATCTGTGTGACGCCCGCTCCCCGGGCCGTCGTCCGCCCCGCAGAGGCAGACCGCTCCCCCCCGCCCCCCGTCCCCCCCCTGATCGCGGCACCGGGCCTGGCCACCGCGAGCAGGGGTCGGGGGCGGCCCGAGCACCCGTGGCTGGGCTCGCGGTGGCCGGGTCCCGCTGCCGCGTTTTTTTTATTATTACCCTCTCAGGATTCGGCTAGTGTTGAGTCGGTCGCGTCCCTCTGCAGGAGGACTATTCAAGAATAGTATGGAAATTGTCAGGGGACGATTTTTCGATTGTTTTTCAATTCATCTTCCAAAAAGTCCGCCTGTATGAGGACATGCCCGACCCAAGGCCAGGGGGCCCAGTTTCTGAACCGTCCATTTCCATCCGATCGATGCGATTCGATGCCGATGCTGGCTGGCATCGGCTCGACCCGGTGCGGTCCGACGCTGGCATTCTATCGATCCCATGCGGTCCGATGCCTGCATGCCATTGTTGTGCATGCTGGTTCGGCCGACCTTATCTGGTTCCGATCCCGGGCTGTTGCTGCCCGATCCGACGCGCATTTCGATCCGATCCGAGTTCTCGATTCGCTGCGGTCTGACCGTGCCATGAGGAGGAGGGGGAGGAGGAGGAGGAGGAGGAGGAGGAGGAGGAGGAGGAGGAGGAGGAGGAGGAGGAGGAGGAGGAGGAGGAGGAGGAGGAGGAGGAGGAGGAGGCAGGAGGAGGAGGAGGAGGAGGAGGAGGAGGAGGAGGAGGAGGAGGAGGAGGAGGAGGAGGAGGAGGCGGAGGAGGAGGAGGAGAAGGAGGAGGAGGAGGAGGAGGAACCATCCGATGATGACCGACCCTGCCCTGGCGAGGATGCCCTGGCGGCGACGAGGCTTCCCTGGCGGCGCGGGCGGCCCTCGCGCCCGGGGCGGCGGCCGAGGCGCCGCGGGACCCAGAGGACTCGGGGGGGGGGGCAATCGGCTGCGCGTAAGTTTGGCTTTTCGCTCCAGCGGCCTGCCCTCCCCCGCCCCCCGCCTGGCGTTGCTAGCCGCGCCCAGCGAGGCTGCATGGGCCCGGGCTCGGCCCTGGCACAGCTCGGCGACGCGTGAGATGGGCCTTTCGCCGGGTTGGCAGTTTTGGTGCGGGCCCACATGGGGCCACCCCAGCACTCGGAGGCGACGACGGGGGGAGCAGCCCAGGGGCGGGCAGCACGCGGACTCGCAAAGGGAGCCTCGTCGAAGACATGGACCGTCGGCGCCATTAGATTCACGTCTTGCCTCCCCTGGGGCTATTCGCCTCTATCGTCGCCCCCCCCCCCCCCCCGAGGCATTGGCTTGCGCGCTTGGATTGTGGCTGCCACGCGGCCTCCTAGGCCGCACACCGAAGGCCACTCCTGCCCAGGGTCACTCTTACGTGTAGCAAGCCGTGGCCGTGTGCCAGCGGCGGCCTGCCACCGCGGGGGAGTCTCAGCGGGGGGCCTGGTCGAGGCGATGGCCAGGCCGCCTTGGCCTCTGGCTCGTCGCCGCGGTTGGATGTGTCTCTGGAAACTGGTAAGTTAGACCCTGGGACGTGTCCGGGGGGTCGATTTTGGGCGCCAGGCGGGAGGACCGCCAGCTAGCCCCCCTCGGGGTGCTCTCCAGCAGCGGCGCCTCGTCGGGAGCTTTCTTGGGGTTCTCCAGGGTCGCCCGAACCGCCGTCGGAGGCCAGAGGCATCGATTCAAGAACCATTAGGCATCGAAGAGCGGATGGGGACTGCGTTTCCCTCAACAGCTGGTCTGTAAGGATCCCGTCTCATTCCGTTGAGGACCGAGCATGGGGATCGCCGGATCTGACATCGTTCGGGCGCTCTGGTCTCCCGCGGTCTCCCGTGGCCTCCCATCGTATTGTCACCATTTGGGTCCGCAGGTCAATTCCTGGTCGTGCCATTTCCCCCAGCAGTGCTTGCTGTTACGGTTTATGTTTGCAATGCACAGAAATTGGGCAGGCGACCCGAGGATTTCTCCCAACCGTCCTGTGGTCTTGGGTCCTCGTTTCGAAGAGACAGCGCCCCGCGTCTCCTCCTCTCCTCCCCTCGCTCCCCCTCCCCCTCCGCCCTCGCTTTTGCACACCCCTCACGCGTTTCGTGGCCCCCAAAGGCCCCAGTGGCTGCTCTCGCATGCGGAACCCTGACGCTGTACAGCGCTCTCGCACGCAGGACACCCACCCAGTGCAGCGTTTCGTGGCCCCACAGGGATGTCCACCGAAGGCCCCCGCGGCTGCGCTCACATGCGGGACCCCCAACCAGTGCAGCGTTTCGTGGCCCCACAGGGAGGTCCACCGAGGGCCCCAGCGGCTGCGCTCGCATGCGGGACCCCCAACCAGTGCAGCGTTTCGTGGCCCCACAGGGAGGTCCACCGAGGGCCCCAGTGGCTGCGCTCGCATGCGGTTCCCCCGCCCAGTACAGCGCTTCGTGGCCCCATCACCTCTCGCGATTCTCTTGGGGCACTCTCGGGAGCCTCGGGCCATTTTGGGGCTATTTTGGAGGATATCGATGAGAGGAGGGGAGCTCCCCCATGAGGCCCCCCCAGAGGGCAACATGTGGCCGAAACCTTGGTCCGATCAGTGATTCTATAATCTTACGCCACATCCGCCGACCCCTTGATCGTCTTGGGGATGTCGTGTTGCTGTCCTGGGGCGTACTTGTGATGTCTTGTTTCTTTGGGTGGGCGGGCTCGAGGCTCTTCGGGGCCATTCCCGAGCGAGTCCGGGGGCATGTGGTGCCGCTCACGGGACGAATCTTACACGTCTGGAGGCCCCGAATGGGGTTGGCGGATGCGGGTTGCATCACATGTGTCCAGACACACGACAAGGCAGTGATCCGTGGCGGTGGTGATGGTGATCCGTGGTGGTGGTGATGGTGATGGCGGTGGTCATGGTGCGGGTGATGGCGATGATGATGCTGGTGGTGATGGTGTTGATGATGAGACGCGGAGATGGTGACATGGTACCAAACAGGAGAAAACGGAGGGGGAGGAGGAGGAGGAGGAGGAGGAGGAGGAGGAGGAGGAGGAGGAGGAGGAGGAGGAGGAGGAGGAGGAGGAGGAGGAGGAGGGAGGAGGAGGAGGAGGAGGAGGAGGAGGAGGAGGAGGGGAGGAGGAGGAGGAGGAGGAGGATGGGGGAGAGGCGGAGGAGGGTCACCGGAGGAGGAGGAGAAGGAGGAGTGACGATTTGGGGAAAATATTTGTCAACACCCGCGCCCATAGACGGCATGCGGCGGTCTAAGTACTGGACGAATCGTTGTCGAATGGGACGTGGCGCATCCCGCCACCTTGCGCGGTATACGGGTAGGGGGCCACACGGATGGTGAAGAAGATCTCGTGCGAGGCCTGACGGGGTCGTCTTGCAGGTAGTTTTGGGGCCTCTTGGGGACTTCTTCGTGGCTTCTTGGAGGCCTCGGAGGTTTTCTGGGAGGTCCCACAGGCCCTTTTGGGGTGTTCTTGGAGCAGGCTGGGAGCGTTTTGGAGCCGAAGGCTCGAAAAGGTGCCCTGTGGACTCCGTGTTGGGGCCGTCTGGGGACCCTCTTGCTTTGTCTTGGAGGCTTCTTGGCCGTCTGGGAGCGATGTTGAAGGTTTCTTTGCCTGTTGTGGACGTTGTGATTGCCGAGTAGGCGAGCATGTGGAGACATGCATGGTTTTCGGGGGGAATGGGCCGATCTTTGTTTCTTGCGATCCTCTCGGGGCGCATCTTAGGGGCCTTTTTGGCGCGTTTTGGCAGCTTCGGAGACCGCCTTGAGGCCATCGTGGGCGTCTGGGGGCGCTATGTCGGCGAATCGTGGTCTCGGGGTCCGTTCGGGAAGCGTTGTGACGCGTTCGGTCCGGGGTTCGGTTTTGGCTTCCGCGCAGATGCCAACAACGACGTTCCAACTTCTCGTGCCCTCCCTTCCGAAACCAGGGGGAGGGGGTAGGTGGATGGTGTCAGGTCAAGACAGCCTCCCCGGTCGTACGCTGTCTCGGTCACTCCGACCCGTTCTCCCAAAACATGAGTAGCATCCGAGCCGCAGCATGTTCAGCGGTTGTCGTTGGATGGGCAGCTAATGGGAACCAAAACAGACACATGTGCGCGACGCTGGGGCGAGGTGCGCCACGCGTGCCAGGTGCGCCACGCGCGCCAGATGCGCCCGGCACCCCTTGTGCCCAAGCGTGCCCAGCACGCCCGGTGCGTCAGATGCGCCGCTTGCTCCACGTGCGCCATGTGTGCCGCGTGGTCCAGCCGCGCCAGGTGCGCCACGTTCGGGACGCGCGCAGAATGTGCCAGGTGCGCCTGCGCACGTAACGGCACACATCGGGAAACGTGTCGGCCCCGTTGTCTTTGCCGAAAACCAATGCACAATGGCGGTGGGGAGGCCGTCATGATGTTTGGTGGGCATGCGCTCAGCAGGCAACGTGCCAGCATCCCCGCCGTCCTTATCAAAAACCGATGGACACTGATCGCGGGGTGGCCGCGCGCGGCCCAAATTTGCTGCGAAGTGCAGTTTGTATAGTTTTTCCATGGAGGCTTTGCGCGCAGCAGGCAATATGAGGCCCCCCCCCCGCCGCAAACAAAAAATGTAAAGTGCTCGTGGGGCCCACGAGCATGACCCGATATTTTGCACCAGTGTGTACTTGTAGCTATTGGTAGTGTGTGTGTGTGTGTGTGCGTGTGTGCTGGCATTGGTCCTAGTTGGCTGCTGGTCGCCTGGGGGACAGGATGTTTATTCATAGGAAACACTGATAAACCCCTCCCCGAAAGGGAAGAAGCGGCGTTGGAAAAATTGGGAGGGCAACTGCTCTAAACCACTCGCGCCGAGGGGCTGGGGGGGTTCTGCCGCAAAGGGTATCCTTGTGTGCGCGTGTGGATGGATCGCATGGCGTCGGCCATGGCATCTCCCAGAATTCAGGCCCCCTTCTTCTTCTTCTGCTGCCTGTTTTTCTTCCTCTTTTTCTCATGCTCTTCCTTTTTTTGGGGGGGGGTTCTTCTTCGTCTTCTTCTTCGTCTCCTCTCTCTTCTCCTCTTCTCCTTCTTGCAGTGTGCGCGCCCTGGCCCCCCAGCCCTCGTCCGCACGCCTGCCTCGGGCCACCAGTGCGCCGACCCCCCTCCTCTTGGCCACCCTCCTCGGCGCGCCCGCTGCCGCTGCGTGCGTCCTGCGGCGCAGAGGCCCGCGCAGAGGCCTCCGCGCCGCGTGCGAACGAGCGCGCGAGCGTGCCCTGGCCTTCCGGCAGACCGCCGCTCGGGCCCGGCCACCTCCTCGTGCCTCCCTCGAGGGGCGCCCGGCCGCCCCGCGCCTGCCGCCCCAGGAGCCCCTCGAGGCTGGGGAGGCGGGCGCTCGCGCAGGAGCAGCGCAGCAGGCGGGGCGTGCCGACCAGGCCGCGGAGAGCGCGACGTCCCAGCTCTCCGGGGAGACGTCGCGCCAGTCGCGGCTGAGTTGGGACACGCCGCGGTCGCAGGTGGTCCGGCAGACCTCGGCCAAGACCCCGAGCTCGCCCGCCTCGTCGGAGGCGGCCCCTACGCAGAACTCCAGCGCGTCGTTCGCGAACTGGATGGACTTGCTGAAGGCGCAGAGGAGGAGGCGCCTTCAGACCGAGCCGGAGGTGCAGAAGTTCCTCCAGGTCCGAAGGAGAGCAAGCGGCATAACCATACACTTTCGCAGGTCCGCGCGGATTTTTTTTGCCGCCGCTGGGCCTCCCTGGCGGCGCCTCCAGCGCCGCCCCTGGCGCGCACCGCGCGCCAGGAATGGGGGCCCAGCGCCGATCCAGGAAATCCGCGCGGACCCCTCGTCTTGTTCCTCCACAGGCGCACGGCTACTCTGACGTCGACCAGCTGCGGCAGGCCTCTCGCTGGGGCGCAGCGCCTGCGTGCCGCCCGCTCCACCTGGCCGTCGCCCACGGTGACGCGGCGATGGTCGGGCTTCTGCTGCTGCACGGCGCCGACCCCACGCTGCCCGACGGCCTCGCCCGCCTGCCCGGCGGCATGTGCGGGGCGAGCAGGCGCGCCCAGTGCGGCTGGGAGGAGTGGGAGGCCGCGAGGCGCGCGGCCCAGGCCGACCCGGAGGAATGACAGCGATAGGGGGCCACATGCGAACCCTACCCCTACCCCCCACGATTTCTGAGGGGGAGGGTGGGGTTCACTTCGCTCGGGAGACCCCCCTCAGCGAGACGAAGACGCGGCCCCTGCGCGCAAGAAGACGCCCCGCGAGCGAGGCCCGCGCGGACGAACGGGGTCGGCGCTGCCCTCCCCCACGCGGGCTCCAGCACTGGCCCAGGAAGACTCCGCGCGGGCCCCGGCGCGCCCTGCTCGCCAGGGGACGGGGTGCAGCGCCGACCCAGGGAGTCCGCCCTGGCTTCCGAGGGTTTGCGTCCGCGCCGCTTTCCTCGGCGGCGAACTCCTCAGGAGAGGAAAAAGCACGCAGACACAATCAATCGTCGATTCCCAGGAAAATGTACAAAAAATGGGGAGTGAGGGGGAAGACGAAAATCCAAAACATCTGGAAAAATATGGGGAATCCTGTTATTTGTGTGTATTTATTTGTGTGTCCCAGGGCCCCTTCGACTCCGAGCACCACCCTCGCCGACCAACGATCCAGGCAACCCCATGAGCGGCGGGGGTTGGGCTCGTATTCCGTCGAAGGCGTGGCGAAGCCCGAACCGTGCCCCCGCCTCCCATCGGTTCGGAAGAATCGACGGTTGGTGGGGGCAGGGCTCGAATGTCGTCACCTACTCTAGACGCTTCCTTGCCGATGCCATCTTGAACGCCCCAACGCCTCGCGAGCTCCCCCCCAGACCGGAAGGGGTCAAGACACCCTCCCCGCCCCAAGCCGTCTCGCTCACTCCCACCCGCCCTCCCAACACATGAGTAGCATCCGAACCGCAGCATGTTCAGCGGTTGTCTTTGGATGGGCAGCTAATGGGAACCAACACAGACCCATGTGCGCAACGCTGGGGCGAGGTGCGCCACGTGTGCCAGGCGCGCCACGCGCGCCAGGTGCGCCAGGCACCCCTGTGGTCCAGGCACTCCTGGTGCGCCAGATGCGCCACTTGCTTCACGTGCGCCATGTGTGCCGCATGTGCCAGGTGCGCCACGTTCGGGGCACGCGCAGAGTGTGTCATGTGCGCCTGCGCACGCGGCAGTGCACATCGGGAAACGTGTCGGCCCCCATTACCCTTATCAAAGACCACTGCGCAATCGCGGAGAGGTGGCCATTCTAGTGTCTGGTGGGCCTGTACACAGCAGGCAATATGCCAGCACACCCGCTGTCCCAGTCTAAAACCAGTACACAGTGATCGTGGGGTAGCCGCGCATGATCCAGATTTTGCCTCGAAGTGCATTTTGTTGCATTGCTTTTCGATTGGGATGCTGGCCCTGCGCGCAGCAGGCAATCTGCGGGCAACCTCACCGTCCCTGCTCCCCAGCAACTAATACGAAATGCGCGCGGCCTCTCAATCATGACCCAAGATTTTGTCCCAAAATTAATTTTAGATGTTTTTGTTTGACAAAGATGGTGGGGGTCCTCATCGGTCCTGATTGGTTGCCTGTCGCCTGGGGGATGGGGTGTTAATTAACCGAAGACGCCCACGTCGAATCGACGCCGCCCCGTGCCTCTTGGAATGGCCCGTGTGGCCGACTGTTGTGGCAAGAGCTCTGCCAAACCATCGGACCATGTGTTCCCCGAACCGTTGTGGAAACCATTCGGGGAACACTTGGGGAGGATTGCGGGGAAGATCAGGATGAGGAGGAGAAGGAGGAGGAGGAGGAGGATGAAGAGGAGGAGGAGGAGGAGGAGGACGAGGAGGAGGAGGAGGAGGAGGAGGAGGAGGAGGAGGAGGAGGAGGAGGAGGGGGAGAAGGCGGAGGCGGAGGCGGAGGCGGAGGCGGAGGCGGCGTCGTCGTCGTCGTCGGCGGAGGAGGAGGATGAGGAGGAGGCCGTGGTCATCCGCATAAGGGGGTCAACGTCAACACCTGCGAAGGAGCTGTGCGTGCAACTGGCACGATCCCTTGCGATTAGATAATGCTACAGACTTCTCATGGGGCAGGCAGAGGGCATACCCTACGCCCAAGGGGGCGAGCTCAGAGGTGGTACCGTAAGAGAGGCTCGCTGAATCAGACGAGCCCAAAAGAGGGAGGGAGAGCATGGCCCGCTGGATGGGCCACCCCCTAGCGCACCAGCAGGCGACTCAGGGGCCGGGGCGAGGTGGCGCTCGCGGCAGGGAGAAGGCGACGCTCGGGGAAGGCGGAGGGCGGGGCGGGGCGCGGGCGGCGAACGCACGCGACGGCACTTGCAAGCGGCGCGAAGATTAGCAATTGAATGTTGCCTTTCTCGATGCCGGACGCCTGGCTCAGTGTTGGCTCAAGTTGTAGACGCCGAAGACTCAGTCGTCGTCGATTCCTCTCGCGCGCCCAAACTTCTCTCCTGCAATTGTGCCTTTCGCAATTCTCTCCCAATCGCCGTCTTCGCGTTTTGCGAAGCGCTGGCTCGAGACCCCAGGGGCGTCGCCGCGGGCTGCCCCGCGGATAGCGGACGTCGGCGAGGGCGCCGCCGGACTCTTCGCGGCTTCGCTGGCGGCCGAGGTGGGCAAGTGCCATGGCGCGCTCCGTCGCCGGGCGGCCAGCGGCGATGGGGACGTCGTCGAACAGACGTGCAAGCTGGGCCCTATTCGATCCCTCAAGCGCAGGGCGCAGCTGGTCGAACACATGATGTGCCGCGCGGCCCCCTTCTTCGCGGCGGCGGCGCGCGGCCGCCGCGCCGAGACTTAGCCGCGAAGGGTCTTTCATGATGCGCCCCCCCCCCCGAAGCTCTCGGCGGGGAATGGAAACTCGTCCCTCCTATTCATCCTTCCCTCTGTCCTCCTTCCCATTCCTCTCCTCCCCCCCCCCCCTCCCCCTCCTCCTCCTCCCCTCCTCCTCCTCCTCCTCCTCCTCCTCCTCCTGCTCCTGCTCCTCCACAATTATTCAATATGAATACAACTCTCCCTCTTCCCCTGATGACGGAATGGGAGTAGCCGACCCCCCCCGCGTATTGTTTTTTACACAGGTTTCTCTGGAGTTGGGTTTTCGCTTGAATTTTTTTGAACGTGCTGCTCTCGCTGAGGCGCCGGCTTGATTTTCGGGCCCCGCTCGTTCCGAAGCTGCGCGCCCGAGCCGGCGCCTGGGCCGGCGTTCGGGCCGCCGGGTCCAGAGCCGGTTCCGGCCGCCCCCAGAAAATGGAGTTCCGAGGCGGCGCCGAAAAAAGGCCATTCCAATACAAATTTTTCTTGTGAAAATGCTCAATTTCTGCTTCCGGCGCGCCTCCCGGGCCGATTCCGACGCCCGGGCCGGCGCCCGAGCCGGCGCCCGGGCCGGACGCCCGAGCCGGCGCCCGGGCCGGCGCCCGGGCCGGGTCCAGAGCCGGTTCCGGCCGGCGCCGGAAAATCGAGTTCCGAGGCGGCGCCGAAAAAAGGCCATTCCAATACACGTTTTTCTTCGGAACGTGCTGAATTTCTGCTTCTGGCGCCCGGGAAGCGTCGTGGGCCGATTCTGGCGTGCTTCCGCTCTTTCTGAATCGTGCTCCCGCTGCAGCGCTGGCCTCATTTCCGCGCTTCCGCTCGTTTCGACTCGTGCTCCCGCTGCAACGCTGGCGTCATTTCCCGTGCCATGCCGCGGCATGCAATGCAATGCTAGGTTGATACTACGCTTCGCGGTGCTCGTCTACGCCATGCCATGCCGTACTCTACAATGCATCGCGTACCCTTTCCGGATCATTGCCCTGCTCGACATCCGACTGTGCGAGTAGAGAGGGGATCTGCGCCATGGTAGGGGATGGGAGGGAGGGGTAACATGTCAGATATTACGCGAGCGCACCTAGCTTGTCCCCCCCCCTCCTCTTCCTCCTCCTCCTCCTCCTCCTCGACCCGATCCCACGCGAAGTCAAGCTCCGCGCCGCGTACCACTTCCGCTCCGCCTCCTCCCCCCTTCCCGTTTTGGGCTCCGTTTCGTAGATTCGAGGAGGGGGGGGCGACGACGAGGACGACGACGACGGGGGACGACGACGGCGACGAGGGCGATTCTTGTTCGTTTCTCCTCCATGCTCTCGCTCGCCGCGCCATGGGTTGCAGATTCGCCGCAATGTCTGGAGTCCTCGACTTGCTCGTGGCGAAAAATATCACAGCGATAGTTATTCTGGATCGTACAGGCGACATGGGTACTCCAGGTGGTAGTCCTGGCCAACCAGTCCTCTTCCTCCTCAGAAGCCATGCCGCTGTGCTTGGGTTGCGTGGTCAGAAGCCTCGCTGATGTACCTGGGTTGTGGGCTAGTAACATCACCGCCGTGCCTGGATTGCGGGTCCAAAGCCTCGCCGACGTGCCTGGGCTGTGGCTGAAAGATGGCAGCCGTGCGCGGGTTGTGAGTCAGACGCCTCGCCGCCGTTATGCGTAGTGTGTTGCAGACTGCACCGCCGTGCCTGGGTCGCGGTTGAAGCCCCCGCCGGTGTGCCTGGGTTGGGGGTCGCAAGCCTCAGCGCCTTGCCTGGTTTCCGGGCCACAAGCCTTCCCCAGATCTCGGCGCTGCGAAAAAAAACGATTGTTGGGTTTCCTTAAGTTTCGGCTTCCGTGGACTTTCGGAGGGACCCAGGATCTTGGCTGTGAGTCAACAGCTTCGCCGCCGTGCTTGGGTTGCGGGGTCAGAAGCCTCTTCGTCTTCGTTGTCTTCGTTGTCTTTGTCGTCTTCGTCGTTGTCTTCGTCGTCGTCGTCGGCGTCGTCGTCGTCTTCGTCGTCGTCCTCGCCGACGCGGGGGATTATTTTCCCAGTGTTGTCGGCCGTGCTGGAAATTGTTGGGCGTTTATCTTTCCTGGTTGAGAATGCCCCCCAAGCTACTTTGCACGCGGGAGGAATTTGGGGCACGTTCGTGAAAAAGGTTAGCAATAGACGTCGATGCACACTCAATCGGCTCCTCGAGTCGTGTTCGTTGTCGTCGTCGTCCTCGTCGTCTTCGTCGTCGTCCTCGTCGCCGCCGTCGTCGTCGTCTTCGTGGTCGTATTCGCCGCGGCGGGTGTATTAGTTTTCCACTA